TAATTTTAAAATCTAATGAATTTATACGATGCAGGTTCCGCGCAGTAAAGTTTTCTCACGGGGATTTGATGATAGTGAACTTTTCGACTGATTGCACCGGCAACAGAAACCTGAACACTTGAGGACTGCCAACAGCATGAAAAGCTGAAATGGATAGCACATAGCAAGAAGAGAAAATGATGACATATCCAAGATGTTAACTTTTTATATCGAAATATATATATATATATATATATGAGAATTTTTTTTTTTATAAAATTTTTTTATGAGAATATATATATATATATATAATGCAGCTCCGTATATAAATGTTTCTTGTAGGTAAACGAAACCATGATCATTAATATCATTTTGGAAAAGAGACCAAATGACAAGTTATAGAAATGTATTCTCGTACCGTATGATATGGTTTCCGGCAGAAAAATGATTTCAATGTTGGTCGTAAAAACTTTGATATGATTTAAATTATGTAGAATTAGAATTCGTGCTCTCACAATTGAAGTTAGAAGTCTTTGTACTCTCCTCGTTTTGCAGTTATCTGTAGATCCGCAACAGGAAACCTGAATTTAAATTTGAGGACTGTTTTTACAGCATTTCTACGTATTGTCTTTTTTATAGAAAAGGTCATTGAAATGGACGGAATCTGAGTATACAAGGAAGAGACAAAATGATGACACGAACATATCCAAGATGTTAACCATTAATTTTCTGGAATCATTTTCGACTTTGAAATCCAAAGTGATTAGGAAGGAAACGACGCATTACCCTGATAGAATAATCTGTTTCTGTTGGGTTATATACATTCTATGAATGGGTATAAATGGCATGAATAAGGGTGACATAGCGGTCACTGATCAGTGAGAAATTTTGCCGTCCCGCCGCCTCAGACCATGCCACTTGGGGACTCCACATTATTACTGAATCACAATTTGCCTGTATGGTTAACAAGTGAGGCTTTGCTCCGATGAATTGCGTCGGACTCTAGCCTTAGTCAGAAATATCTGCAACTGTGAAACATCAGCCCACGCTAAATGGCGCAAGTCGTCCTGTGGCGAAATAACAATATCACGATAACTGATGTAGTGCTATGCCCATCATCGTGGTCTTTACAGGACTGCTCTGGTCGATTTTCTGATCTCAAACACTATGAAACGTAAATAAATTTAAACAGATCTGCTCAATAGATATTTATCTGGAATTATCTGTCTGTTGTAGCTGACAAATCCATCAGATGTCACTGATAACGTTTATTAAGTATATATTAGACACTGCGGTGTCGAAGGTAAGCAGTAATTTTTTTTAATCCCGTATTCCCACTACTTGACAGCTTACAACAAGTGATATCAAATAATGACGCAATCTTGAGAAACGGAATATCAAATCCGTCTAGCACGCAATAAAACACCATTTTCAATAAATTACGGCATTTTGTGTATAATTTGCCTGGTGGGTATGATGAATAGATTTGTATGTTTATGGCATATTATCCTTATGTAAGTTATTTAAAGTCAGAAAGTATTTTTAGACTGTAAGAACGTTTTGGAGATAATAATGATTTACTGATACATATCCTACTAATTAACCCATAGCTCCAGGGAAGAAGATGCGGATTTATAGTTTTTCCAAGGGTATGTGGGAATAAGTGAATAAAACTAACCCAACTGGAATTAAAATTCAGCCATCTGTCTTCCGATTTTGAGCAGTTATCCGCAAAACATTAACAACACATCCAAGTTAACAGCAGCTGGAATTATCAAGCGGAGAGCCATCAAGGTACTGATCAAGCCCGAAGTTCGTAGGTAGTAGGAGAACCAGCGTTACGGCGTGAAATGGCTGCAAACATCGGAGGGTATGATTTTGTGCATATGAAAAATGTCAGTGACTGGGCTTTTAGAAAACGAACTGATAAATGCAAATTTGCTATGCAATTATCCAGATCCGATATGTGGATTATTGAAGTGCGACAACAAAGCTACCCAAGAAAAATAACAAAGCTCATTTTATCTAATTTGAAATTGAAACATACATCGTAAACATCATATCCATACAACGAAATAAATTAACTCTCTCTCTGACTTTGAGCGTTTTCCAATAAGTAGTGCGCATATATATATATATATATATATATATATATATATATATATATATATATATATATATATATATGTATATTGCCATCCACAGACAGAATGTTTCACGAAGCCCGACTGATTTGGTATCAATCAGCATTATATATATATATATATATATATATATAGCAATTTCAGATCCGTAAATGGTAAGGCTTATCAAAATAGGTCATTTTAATATAAATTATTGTATTCCCTTTTCCAGCCCTGCTTGTTGGGTTGTCACTTTGTTTTTCTTCCTCCTATCTCATCAAGGATTTTCTAGGTCAAATCTTTTATTCATTGCCTTTTGTAATTTTTAATAAACTGTCTAGGTGATTTAAACTATATATATATATATATATATATATATATATATATATATATATATATATATATATATATATATATATATATATATATATATATTTACACATTTAAGCAATATTTCTTATTTTTTCGATGGAACTACTGCTTTGGTATACCAAAGCAAAGACTTCCAAAACAGAGCGGAGATCCTCCCGGACCAAACCATAGGATCAAGATAGAGAGGGCCAGCAAACTTGGACTTATTGGACGGCCGGGATTAATCTCTCTAGCAGAATCGACATAATGTGGCACATGCTGCCAGGATTAAATAATTACGACCGCTTAAAGCCGAGTTATTCTTAGTCTTCAATCTGCTATAGGCTGACGTAGTTATTTAAAAAAAAGAAAAGTTACAGAGAACACAATAGCAATCTAAATAGAACAACCTTTCAGTTACAAAACTACTATTTGACAACAATGGAAGGTTGGCGTCATCTTAGCTGAACAATGCTTGTGCTTAGAGGCAAAATCGTTTATTTTAGGATTTTTGTTTTCAGATAATGTATGTTTGTTTTTAATTTTTCAGTTTAGTTCTGTGTTTCCAGCAAACACATTAATCATCATTTCACAACTCTTCACCATGTCACGGGGAATATTGGTCGGGAGACAGGGACGAATAGCGAAAGGTCGCAGCAGAGATTATCGTGAATATTGCTGCGAAAACGACTAAAGAATTTGTAAAATAACTTCAAAATAGTCAATGATTGAAATTACAACACACGATATGAAAGTAGAAACACGTCACGGGGACACACGTTTATTAATTTACACAGAATTGTATTCCTGCAAAGCGAACACCATTTTTTTATCGTTTTTTTCAAAAGAAGTTGATATTTTGGGACCTAAAATAGTAATCCTTATAATTTAACCAACAAAGAAAACAAAACGGGTGTTAGTCATTTGTAACGGAAGCCTTGCTCTGTCCAAATTTTTATTGTGTTCTCTGTAGATTGTTATTTTTTAATTAAATATCTAAGGTGTGCTGGTATTCTCTCTTTCTCACGTGGTTAGGTCCTGGATGTTCACTGCTCTGTTTAGGAAATCTTTGATTTGATATATCGGAGGAGTAGATGGAAATAAATAGAAAATATTGCTTTGAAAAAAATTAAATTGAAAAAAAAAAAATAAAAAAAAAACACCATTCATACAATTTTTTCTGAAAATAAAAATCCATAAATAAACGATGTTGCCTCTAAGCACAAGGATTGTTCGGCTAATATGGCGCCAATCTTTTATTGTTGTCAAATATTCGTTTGTAACTGAAAGGTTATTCTATTCAAACTGTTACAGTGTTCTCTGTATTTTTTAAAAATACATATCTAAGCTTTGCTGCTACTCTCTCTTGTTCATATGATTAGGTTCGGCAGGTTCACTGATCTGTTTGAGAAATTGATTTGATATACCGAAGGAGTAGATCCCTGGGAATACATAGAAAATACTGCTTTGGAAGCGTCCCTCGTATATATATATATATATATATATATATATATATATATATATATATATATATATTTTCACGTGTGTATGCTTCAATGTCAAAGGAGATAAAATGAGCTTTGTTATTTACTAGGGTAGCATAGTTGTCGAACAAGCTCACAATTATCGAGTAGCCACTGAGAATCGATCTCAACAGAGAAACCCACGAACCTTTAAACCACGTCGCTGTGTCCTGGGTAGAACAGGTTTCCGAATTGCCAACCTATTTATTATGGATGTGTGCATTACGTAACAGCTATCACTGGGAAAATTGGAAACAAAGTCGCAAATTCAATTTCGGCCTTTTCTGTTTTGTTCGCTTTGCACTTATGCTCTTGAGGAAAAGAGGTGAACCCATTACTTCTCCCTACAATTATTGATTAAATAACATGGTACCCTGGGCTGGTTAGGCATACGTAGTAGCCAGTCAAGATGAAGGAAATCTATGATTAAATTCCATCTGGAATTAACGAGAAATTACTCCGTGATATTTACTCTGAAGTCATACCAAGTCCAGGATATTAAATAAAAATAATATATAACGAACTATGATCTTCTCCGCCCGGAAGCGATAGGGCATTTTAAATTAGACGTATAATTTTATAGATTATCTAAATAAATATAACGCTTCGTGCGTGAGTAGGCGTGGATTAAGCTTGTAGCCACAAATAAAGTAGGATTAAAAGAAAATCCTGTACTCATTTGACCAGATCTTAGTGAGTCAATGAACATAAGATGAATTTCGGCCATTTTAGCGACAGGCAAGAGCCATATTCGCAGTAGATTATTCCTCCATTTCATGGTTGGTAGGTAGTTAGTGTATAGGTGCATATAAATATCTATCGGTTATTTAATGCTGAAATCGAAATATTTTATTTTTATAAATAATAAAGGTATAATTATAAACGTATTACTAATTAACCCATAGCTGGGGTAGTAGAGGTGGATTTATACCTTTCCCAAGTGTAAGCGAATATAACGAACGCAGTTGGGATTTGAAATCGGCATTCTGATTAACAATACACTAACCGGGCGTCTATGCTTACTGTAACTAGTATTCGTAAGAGCTCATCCATCTAGGTACTGACCAGGCTCGACGTTGCTTAACATAGGTGATCGCATGGGAACCGGTGTTTCAACATGTCGCCCATTAGGGAAAAAACCCACAAAATATCCTAAAATGATACATTCTGACCAAATAAACTGAATATATATATATATATATATATATATATATATATATATATATATATATATATATATATATACCTAAGTATATAACTGGTATATACGGAATGAATTCCAATAACCAACAATTACCATTCTTAAAATAGTGCTCAATACAAAGTAGAGCAGATATAATTATTTTTTTATAAAAAAAAAATATATATAACATAAATATGTTATAAAATCACTACAAAAATAGCCATTTTGTTTCAACACCCTCGATGTCTTATCAATTGATGATGTTGAATATAAAATAAATGGTTTTAAAAGTTTCAAATTAAATTCGCTAGGGGAAAACATTGTTGCAAAAGCTAGAATGACCAATCAAAGCCCAAGTATAGGAAGAGTCAAAAGCTTTTTTTTTTTCATAAAGGGCCGTGGAGATGTTCCTGTCTCGTCGCTTTCTTGTATCTATATATATATCTAAATATGTCTGGGTGCTTATGTATTATAATCTGATTGTGTTTGTGTTGTTTTGCGCGTGTGTTTAAGAACCCATTCACACACTTGGGATTAAAATATATATACATGTATTGTCGGATGATCGGATATTGTAGCGTCTGTTCTAACGTAATTCCAACGATGAAATAAACTGAATAACATATGTATTTTTTCTTTTCTCCTCAGTAATTTTATAGTTTTTAAACTTAATAGTGATTAAATTTGGATTTTAAAATTGGCAGATTTTAATTTAAATATCAAATTTTATCATATAATTTAATAAATATTGGTTAGAATAAATTCTTTTTTAATAGTACCCGTATTTTAAAGATCTGAATAGCTATTATAACATGATTTCGTTGTCAAGCTTTTGAATCTTCCTATACTTGGGTTTTGATTGGTCATTCTAACTTCTGTAACAATGTTTTCCTCTAGCGAAGGGTCGTTGATTAATTTGAAAATTTAAAACAATTTATTTTATATTCAACATTATCTTGATAAGACACCGAGGTATTGAAACAAAATGTCTATTTTTGTCGTGATTTTATAACATATTTCTGTTATAATTTTTTTTCATAAAAAATAATTATATATATATATATATATATATATATATATATATATATATATTGCTCTCTCCAGTCAATTTCAACGTATGAGGATCATTCAAATTTATTCAGTTTTATGTTTTGTGCTGTATGTGACATGAATTCTGAGCAAATAACTTGAACACATACACACACACACATATATATATATATATTAACCTCAATGTTCACTTATATATATATATATATATATATATATATATATATATATATATATATATATATATATATATATAAGTGAACATTGATTTATCACTCCAAGAGCGACAGGCTGTTTCATGCTGGGCGCAATCATCAGGATTCGCGGCCTGACAATTGCGTCCAGAATGAATAGCCTGTCGCCTCTGAGTGTTGACTTCAATGTTCACTTTTATATTTTATATTTACATACTCTCTATCTCTGATATTGAGCACCTTATCCAATAAATATAGCACACCTTAAAACTATATTTCTTCATATATATATATATATATATATATGGGGGGAGCGTGTGAGAGAGAGAGAATTATTAATAATAGGTTAAATTTTAAATATTGAAATGAAATGAAATATTGTTGTTAAAACTATCCAATAATAGGGAGGAAGCTACAGGAGTACCCGAAAATTTGATGCGCTCTGTGGGTGTTGAGCAAACGTAAATGTGCCTGAGCGAGCGTATGCAATAGAGATTGGCTAGCTGTTGGCTATAAAATTACTGACAGACGGTTATCCTCGAATAAGAGTAGGCAGCAAATATATATATATATATATGTGTGTGTGTGTTTATGCGTGTGTGTGTGTATGTGAGTGTGTGTGTGCGTATGTGTAATTCGCCATATTATTATCATTTTTAAATCATTTCTTTTCTTAGTCTTGCTGTGAGTGAATGATCCCTAACTAGAAATGTTTTCAATATCAACTCCTTTTAGTTTTATTTTCATCTTCCCAATGCGAAGTGTAACAAATACAGAAACAAATGGAAAATAAGGAAAACGCGAAACGAGAGAGGTGCCTATCTCTAATAACCCAAAAAACTGGGTCGTTAAAGTACCAGTTGATATGCCTGTAAAATACAAAAGTGTTATTATCTGACAATATGCAATAAAGGAATATTCAACAACTATCGACTCAACAAAGACAACTGGTGTAGGAGCATTTCTCAGTAAAACAGAAAGTACGATTTCTATATTTATCAATTTTTATAAAACGTACTCTCTCTCTCTCTCTCTCTCTCTCTCTCTCTATATATATATATATATATATATATATATATATATATATATATATTTATAGAGGCACCCCCACCCACACACACATATATATATATATATATATATAGTGGGGTTGATGTAATTGTGACCCTGGGTTTCACGCCTTTTGCGATCGTCAGCGTGAAAGCCAGGGTCAGAAACTCACATTAACGCAACTAATTATATTAGCTCTATCACTGATATTGAGAGTTTTCGAATAATTAGCATGTTTATATAATATATAATAATATATATAGGAATTGCATATATATATATATATATATATATATATATATATATATATATATATGCAATTCCTATATATATATTTCTATACGATCATAAAGGGCGTGAAACCCAAACTCACAAATTCACATCAACCCCACTAAATATATATATATATATATATATATATATATATATATATATATATATATATATATATGGGGGTACCTCTGTAAAAATCATGTATGTATACATATATGTGTGTGTATATATATATATATGCAATTTATATATATATATATATATTATCTATATGTTATATATGCGCGTTACTCATTGGAAAGCGATCAATATCAGTGATAGAGCTAACATACATCAATCCAACTAAATATATAGAGATAACATAAATCAATCCAACAATATATATATATATATATATGATGTGTGTCTCTCTGTGTGACTGTTTATGTGTCTGTGTGTGGTCATAAAATAAAGAAATATTAAAGTCAAGCAGATTATATCTATCACAAATTTTTCTATAAAATAAGTAAAATTGCTGAAAAGAGACTTTTGTATTAGGAACACTGTTTCCAATGTGATCAGGGAACAAATGTCATTAAACGTCGAGAAAACGCATACCAAATTTAACATTTTTTCAACCTTGAGTTGCTACATTCGTCAAAGACCTGTCGAAATTAGATAAGCCAGTCTTTGTTGCATTATTCTTTCTTTTCGTTGCTAAATACATGTGGAAAAAAATGACGTTTTTTTGCGTTATCGACAATAATGGAAACATTTTTATTTGTTATTTATTGTTATGACACGTAATTATTGTGGTGAAAATTATCTATTGAATTTCCATCCCATATAACCCGCTCTCCATGGCAATAATTCTCGCTAAGGAAGGGATAATGAGACGTCCCCAAAATTGAAATTAACGAGGGGACATAAGCAATTTTTGGTCCGTTATATACTTGGATCCCCATGCCCAATTAAAAAAAAATTGTATCCCATTCAGGTCAAATGGATGTGGGAATAAAAAAAAAAGAATTGAAATACCATTTAACAGGTTGTTTAATAGCAAGTGATGAATTTATTGTATAAGGAAAGCTATTTTCTGAGATTATTCAAATTTATTATAGATATGGTGGCATGTTATTCATGCCAAGACGTACCAGTGTTCTGAATCAAATTTAATATCAATCAGAAATATTTGATCGAAGAAGAGTCGATCTAAGATAGCCTCATTACCGATTCAGTTTACAGTAAAAGACATTAAAATAATCTTTTACTCGGTGTCACATGAGAGTCAAAAGAACATTGTAGCCACCAAGTGAAGAACTGAGTCTCAAATGGTTTCGCTGTATTCACCGATATAAATATGAAATCAGTCCATCTGTCTTTAGAATATGCCAACAAGACAATTGGTTAGCACAAAGCTATATAAAGGCACAATTTACGATGGTGGATTCAGAGGTCATTACGTATTTGCGATAATGGAACATTTGAAGAAAATTCCTGAAAGTCTCATGCCTTCGACGACCGAAGTTAATTTGATACCAGAAGTGAATTAAATATATATTTTACATATGAAAAATATGTGGTATTCTTTTCAGATTTTCTAAACATTATAAGTCCTGGGTATGACGATAAACTGCATCTGGCAGCAAGACAGTCTGGAGGTTTTGAGAACGTGGTACCACCTCCTCTCTGAAGTTGTTCCCAGTTCCACCCTGAACCGGTGTGATAACACCTATAAGTGTCACAGCTATAGGGAAATAGTTAATCTCCGAACAATATGAAAGCCTAAAAATACATCTGTGTAGTACAAAAGTACCAGTAATATATTATTATTATATAAAAATAAAACTAGTAACGATATATATTTATAGAACAATTAAAAACAATACATTTTTAAAGCAGCATTACAAAGAATAAGTTTTATTATAAAATGACCATCAGTTCTTTTTTATCTGTAGCTGGAGCTCTAAAGCGGTAGTCAAAATATTTAGATCCTGGCATTAACTAAACCATACAGGTTGATATACCGTCAAACAAAATCAAACTAACATTAAAATATGAGGCACATATTGGGAACATAAGAATTAGAGAAAAAAAAAACATAATTTAATTATGTTTACATTATAATTACAAACATGATTTCAAGCGCAAAGGAATAGCAAAAATGTTTTCAGAAAATAACTGCGGATTTTAAGAATCGAAAATGAATATCACAAACGGATGAAAGCGGGTCAGATTGTTATTTAAGAGTGAAAGGCGTCGAAATCGAAGAGTCGGTTCATAAATAAAGAAAATAAATAAAGATGGTATATTTAATTTCTGTTTGGAAACGATGAAGATATAGTGAATTATGACGTGGGACGCTTTATTGGCAACTAAGACGATGA